TTTCCACTAGGCGAATTTATTCGCGCGAACAGATAAAAAGTAGGAAGCGATCCTACTTTTTCGCCGCGAATTTTTTCGCCGACCAATCACGTTGCCGGATTTCGGTTTTCGCTTCGCGTCGCGCGAAAAAATTCGCCTAGTGGAAAACGGCCTTTAAGCCTGTTCTCCACTACGCGAATTTGTTCGCGCGACGCGAAGCGAAAACCGAAATCCGGCAACGTGATTGGTCGGCGAAAAAATTCGCGGCGAAAAAGTAGGATCGCTTCCTACTTTTTATCTGTTCGCGCGAATAAATTCGCCTAGTGGAGAACGGGCTTTAATGCCAGCCCTAACCGGGCGTTGTGAAAACCCGGAATGCCGGAATATCACGGAATATGGCGGAATATCACGGAATATGGCGGAATATCACGGAATATGCCGGAATATTGCGACATTTTCCCGGAATATACCGGAACATCACGATATTTTCCAATGGTAGCCATGGGCATGTACTAAAAGGCGAAACGAAACGACCGAAACGAAACGGCCGAAAATGTAAATTACAGGAAAATTGAAAAATGCGGATACGGACGGACGGGGGAGACAGGCGGATGGACGGGAGAAGAGGCGGATGGACGGGGGGGACAGGTGGATGGACGGGGGAAGAGGGGGATGGACGGGGGGGGACAGGCGGATGGACGGGACGACAGGCGGATGGACGGGGGGGGGAGACGGCTTCATTTGACACGAAACTCAATTTTAAAATCAAATCCGCGTTTTGTTGAAAGGGATATATTAGGATATATTATAATAGACTATTATTAATCGTAATAAATTGTCCGCGAAAAGTTGATAAATACATGTGGAAATGCGGGGTTTTTCAAACCTTCGTAACGCTTGATCGGATAAAACGCGGATATGCTGCAACTTTCATGCTTAATTTTCTCAGTCATCTGGGTATGTAGTAATCTAATTTTATGCAATGTAATGTGTTATATTTTCAAGGGCTTTTCAATGCAGTTATCGGTTTAAATATACCTAAAATTCCCGTTAAGAGATATGACAATTGCCGTACGGCCTACTTTTACGCAAACGAAAATTTAATTTAGCTACAATTGCAAAAATTTCATGCTTAATTTTCTCTGTTATCTGGGCATGTAGTAATCTAATTTTATGCAATGTAATGTGCTGTTTTTTCAAGGACTTTTCAATGCAGTTATCGGTTTAAATATAACTCAAATTCCCGTTGAGATATGACAATTGCCGTACGGACTACTTTTACGCAAACGCAAATTACAACTGCAAATTTCATCAGCACATCACATTGGCATAAAATTACATTACTACATGCCCGGATAACAGAGAAAATTAAGCATGAAAGTGGCAATTGTAGCTAATTTTCGTTTGCGTAAAAGTAGGCCGTACGGCAATTGTCATATCTCTTAACGGGAATTTTAGGTATATTTAAACCGATAACTGCATTGAAAAGCCCTTGAAAATATAACACATTACATTACATAAAATTAGATTACTACATACCCAGATGACTGAGAAAATTAAGCATGAAAGTTGCAGCATATCCGCGTTTTATCCGACAAGCGTTACGAAGGTTTGAAAAACCCCGCATTTCCACATGTATTTTATCAACTTTTCGCGGACAATTTATTACGATTAATAATAGTCTTTTATAATATATCCTAATATATCCCTTTCAACAAAACGCGGATTTGATTTTAAAATTGAGTTTCGTGTCAAATGAAGCCGTCCCCCCCCCGTCCATTCGCCCGTCCCCCCCACGTCCATCCGCCTGTCCCCCCGTCCATCCGCCTGTCCCCCCCGTCCGTCCGTCCGTATCCGCATTTTTCAATTTTCCTGTAATTTATATTTTCGGTCGTTTCGTTTCGACGTTTCGCCTTTTAGTACATGCCCATGGCTACCATTGGAAAATATCGTGATGTTCCGGTATATTCCGGGAAAATGTCGCAATATTCCGCCATATTCCGTGATATTCCGCCATATTCCGTGATATTCCGCCATATTCCGTGATATTCCGGCATTCCGGGTTTTCACAACGCCCAGTGCGAAAGGCTGCTGGGAACCGCTTTGAAAATCCATTAATTTGTTAGCGATTCCCAGCAGCCTTTCGCGCTCGTATTCGACTTTTCCGCTTTGCTCGTGGACAACCTTAATTGAAACTGTATATAGAGGATATTTCACGGTGGCGCGGAAATATGAATTTTATTTTCGAGTGGTGAAAACAATATTTTACGAACGAGCGCAGCGAGTGAGTAAAATATTGTTTTCAACACGAGAAAATAAAAGTCATATTTCCAAAGCCACCGTGAAATGTTCTTTTTATTATATGGCCAAACTAAATTTCATCAAGATGTTTTGTAGCTCACCGTACGGCAACAATGTTATGTCTCTCCGCTCGTTTATCGAGGCTAAATAGTCGCTGCATGAAGATCGCCAAATCGGACTTAGTCTTCCTTTTTGTGTTTTCATTTTCATCAGAAAACCTTGCCAAATCAGCGAATGTCGAGAAGTTGCCATATTGTATATTCAAAACAGAAACGGCAAAATGGCGGGAATTAGCGTGGGTCCCGCGCGAGACGTTCCCGCGTAAGATATGATTTCATATTTCACTATAGTGAAATACGGGAAATATCAGTGGCGTATTTTACGGTATTTTACTCATATCCATATAATAAATATATATATCGATCAACACGGCAAATGTTTTATATTTGTTAAAACATATATCATAACACATAAGATAAACAAAGATCTTGGAAGAGCATGCATATGCATCAGTTCTTGGAAGAGCATGCATCAACAATTGAATTTGCTGAAGTAAGCAAGTTTATTTGTTTGGCTTGCTCCGGAGAACACCAGGCGTATATTGATTGCTGCAAAGCTTTCGATATCAGTGCTAATAATAGGATGAGAATCCGGGCTTATATGGTTTGAAAGTTTTGCGATAATATGAACCGTGATATTCTGTAGAAACCAAAACAAATATGTCATTGCCATGCAAACAAACAAAGAACTTAGTCAGCAAATTGTTGAAACAATGCAGTTGCATCATGCAACAGCAAGCATAAAATGGTGCAACACTGCCAACACGTGCTGTCAATGAAAGGTAAAGACTCGTATATGTCTCTCAACGTACGTATATTTTTCAATATCATGACGCAAGTTGGTTTCACTTTTCTTGGAAGGATGTACCTGTACATGCGGCAGGTAATGTGATATGTACCCGTACCATGATATATTGAATATATTATGTGATTTCTTGGAAGAACTGTTTACGGAAAACACTGTCATGTGACTACCAACAGTTTATGTGCGTTATTATTCTATTTCATCCTCATTACTCATGCTAAGGGAAATCCCTGACACCATGCATTGAGATTGCACGACAGCACGAGTACTTATATTTATAATAGTCGCCATCCTCAACTCAAGCGTGATCACACAATAATCAGGTACGTCTATATATGTCTATTGTATATCTAATTTTATTGCTATTGCATGAGTATATTCTATGTCTGAGAATAAATTATGCGATTGTAACGGAGCTGGAATTCGGGCGGGATATGGACAGACTGATACATCAGATTGTTCATGCATATATACCAAGTCAAGAACTTTCAAATACAAGCAAATTAGCCATCCCGAAAACAATGGCCCACCCACCATGCTGCACATGGCCTGTTAAAAACAAAGACGTTCAAACATTTAACATCTCTTGAAATTTTCGTGCTAAAGGTGTGTGTATTCCGTTGTATTTGTGAATTGTCGAAGTTAACTGTTTAAATACTTAGTTTAAGGTCATATAAGGTGTCCGTTGACGTTTGTCTTTGTATATAAGCATCTAAATATATTGGTATAAATTATTTATTTGTTTGTAATTGACACTGCGTACTCATCTTAGGGACCCGACAAAGCAATAGAGGGACAGACGATATAATACATGGATTTTTATTCTAGAAGGGAACTACAACATAGTAACGAGATGGAGGGGTGAGTATTATAAACTGTAAACTGTACTGTTAATTATAGCTTGCCTCATTCTGTGGTGAATCTGGGATTAATTGTCGTATATGTATACCGACTTTTGGGTTGCTGTTCCATATAAAGTCTCCTACAAACGGTTGAACAATTTCCGTGGACTGTTGAACAGAGACTACGAGAATTAATTCAACAAATAATGCCCTTGCCAGTACGAAATCCAGTACCGAATCATTGTTGTATATAAGTATTAAACTGACAGTGTTTGCGTTTGGTTCAATAAAAATGACAGCAAATAATCTATTCAAGCTAGCTTATACCAAAAACGCAGATATTTAGTTATTTTTAATTAGCACAAAACTTCCTAACGCTGGTAATTTCTAAAATTTCTATCGTAAGACATACATCTGGTTGCGAAATTTGAATGACATAATTTATATATTTTGGAATTTGAGAAAGCATGCATAATTCATATTATTTTGAGGAAGGTTTGAAAACTTGAAATCTTACCCGGAGGAAGGTTGAACACTTTTTGCAATTCTGTTTTAATATACCCACAATAACAAACGCAAGACCCCTCACCTGCTTATTATTTTATACTACAAGTTAGTATCACTAGGACCAATATAGATGATGTCAGGCGCTTCTATATATGTATCATGAGCCTCTGGCATGGGTAAATTGGGCAACCACGCCCGATATATAAAGACGTAAATTATTTTTGTCTCAACTTTCCCCCATGTTTTGCAGGGCAACCAAGGTTAAATTGCGGACGGGCACTGAAGTGCAAAACGTCAGGGGCACTACTAGTTGCAGATCGTTTGGTTACGATTCATGGAAGCAATTGTATGAAGGTGCAGTTGGTAATTGGCCTGATTTCTGTCCTGTGGATTATTGTACCCGGAATGCTATATATGGAGCCCATGTAAGGGTCCATTTCAATCGTGGTGGGGTATGGATTATACCCATGTGTGCGAAACACAATCACTATACGAACAACGATTGGATGACTATTACTGATTCAAACACAATTGCAGTGTACGCTGAGAAGGAACATACATGAAGTCTGTCTGAGATAGAATTTGGTTTTCGACAATACACAGTTTCTAAATGAATGTACTGTTTATATAGTTGTAGAAGTGATGAATCATTAATAAGGCTACTGAGCAATCTTGTCAATATATTTAGGTCAAATATAATTACTGTACAATTATAAAGTTCAGCAAAGTCATTATTGCTAGTTATATTATTATATATAGCTAGTTAACTAAGAAATACAAGTCGATATTTCTTATTTAATACGGAACTGTAACATATCGCTATGATTTATCATAATGACTCAATATACATCTACAATCACTATTTCCTGGTGATTTCACGTATTCAATATTGATATGAAAAGTACTGTGTTATGATTTAGATGACAGCTAGGATATAGTAACGATTTATACTGTGACTAAGCTGATTGCGCACTGAAAAATTATGTTTATACAGACAACCTCTTATCTTTTCTGATATAAGTTTAAGCTGGCTTTCCGCATAGTTAATGATGAAAGCAACAAGAAAACAGAGCTCCTGGAAAGTTGACATGCAGGTCAATACTGTCATAACTTGAGAGTTAATTTCAATCTTTACTATTCTGGGTGCAGAGGTTTTCTGGTGTCGGGTGGACGCGCCAGCATGAGTGCAGGCAAAAGCTTAAACTAGCTAAACAGGAAACTCCCTAGTCCAGGATAAATTAGCCTGCGTGCAGCCTGACTTTAAAGGGGGAAAAGTCAGGATAAATCTTCACCGGATTGCTTGAGGACTGTGTTTCGAGTGTATGCTATCGACGTTTTTATACATAATTCTGGTACATATTTCAGTGTATGCATGCAGTCTCGTGAACAAGTGAACAACGACTCTTGCCACCTACTATTCATGATCAAGCTCATGAGTAATCGACGACGTTTCTACCATTAAAAACTATTTATCGCTTCCCTGCATATATTAAACCACCATCGGCAAACTTGAGCTTGGTTTTCTGTGCTGCCGAATACACTGCAAGGCTAGTCAAAGCCTTTATGGCATAATTATGGCTATGTACCCGGTTGTTAGCACATAGCCGCTTTATTGTTTTAATACATTTTTAATAATTAACAAGAATTAATAACTATATAATATTTAGCTAAATCTCTTGCGTCCAATTTCTTGACGTGCACTGCAGCCCTCGTGGAATAGGAAAGGAAAGATGGCAAAGAGATGGCCCGCTTCACCACTGATAAATATACCGAACCATCCAATCACGTGACTATACTTAAATTAACTTGCGCGCGCAAATACCCTATTTCGCATAATTAATTTCGACTATAAATTATTCCGGGAAGCAATAAAAACTCTTATCGCTGTGGCAATAAGTTCCTGTCTACAGATAAGTTCTTATCTTAATTATTCATACATATATACTGTATATATATATATATATATATATATATATATATATATATATATATATATATATATATATATATATATATATATATATATATATATATATATATATATATATATATATATATATATATATATATAGCAGTGTGTGAGGTACCATGTCTGGATAGTGTATGAACTTGGCTATAAGATTTCTTCAGACATAAAAATACACAAAGTATATTTTCCAAACGTTTCGCCTTTTACGGCTTCTTCAGTGGAATGTTTTTTACAATAATATTTCCTTCTATTTATATGAAACTAATTAAAATACTAAATTTACAATGCGTATGCTAATATATATTTAAATATATATATATATATATATATATATATATATATATATATATATATATATATATATATATATATATATATATATATATATATATATATATATATATATATATATATATATATATATATATATATATATATATAAATATATACTGTATAAATTGTTCAAAATTTATTTGTTACAAATTGGCTAAAACGGTTAGTTCTTACGATTGTTTGGACATTGTTTACTCTCCTTGACTGCGATCGTAATGAATACGAATGAGTGATGGTAGGTTCGTAATTAGTGTTAATGATCTTAGACAACACAGAGCTTGACTTTCGTTGTTGAGCCATGAAGGATTCACAAATACGATCTCTACGATTAGATAACTGGAGCAGTTTAGAGGACTCTAAGGCTTGAAAATAGTCGAAAGTCTGGGAATATTATTTTTAATGCCCTTCGTTGAACGGATTCGATATCATCGGATAGGTACTGCGGTAAGTTGGCCCAAACGGGGGCAGCATACTCTAGCACTGATCGAATAAGAGAAATGTAAATGAGAACCAGGTCTTTATCTGATATGCCAGCAATTTTCAATTGTCTCAATATATATAACCGTTTGAAACCTTTCTTAGTAATATAACCAACATGCATGTTTGTTCCAAGATAGATCATCTGACATATAAACTCCCAACAATTTGAAATGCTTAACCAAATCCACTTGAAGATCACCAATTAACAGCTGTCCACCAATTGGTGATCTATACTTAAGAAAACAGATACGCATTTCATTGCACTTCTTCGGATTCAATCTCATATGACTAGCACTAGCATACTGATTAACCTCATTAACTAAAAAAGGCGTAAGTCGGAGAGTTACGAGGAATTATTTCCAGTGAGGTCAGGTCGTCAACAAATTTAACTCGATAGTGCCATGAATTTATTAACGAGTTGACGAGCACGGCAAATAACAATGGGCCAAGCTTCGTCCCCTGAGGAATTCCACCATTAAGATATCTGTATTTGGAATTGGAACTCCCAATTCTAACACACTGAGATCTTTTATACAAAAAGGCCGAAACCCAGTTTTGGAGAACTGGGTTCACCCCAAAGCAATTCAGTTCTGATAGGAGAACGCTATGGTCGACTAGATCAAAGCCCTTTGCAAAATCGGCAATAAAAAGCCGGATAGAGCAACCACCAGTTTCCAAATAGCCCAGAATTGTATGCATTAAATAGACCAGGGCCTGAGTCGTAGATTTTCCCTTAGCAGCGAACTGAAATTGGTCCAGCATAGGAAGTAAATCGTCAGATAACCTTTAAGTGTGAAACCCTCCATAATCTTAGCAACTTGGTTAGTCAACGATATTGGACGTAGGTCTGAATTTATTTCTTTAGGGGGATGACACTTAGGTAATGGGATAGCGATCGATGCCTTCAACTGTTCTGGGAAAACGCCTTGCTTCATACTGGAATTATAAATATCCGCCAAAACTGGGGCCAATTCGAAAGCAAAGTCTTTTAGGACCCGGTTGGGTATACCGTCAGGACCAATTGCTGAGCGGGATTTGATGCGCGATAGATCACAGAAGACCTCGTTACTTGAAACTAACAGCTCATCAGGAACATGAATAGAAGGGCTATTCGGGCAATGATCGAGCGGGGAAAAGTTGGATGAAATATTAACAAAGGCGTTGTTAATTTTTTGACACAAATTATCCAATGATGGAGTTTCCTCGTTAATGAATTGATGTTGTAAAATAACATGTATATAACGCGTATTCTGATTGGTCGAAAGCCGTGTTTGGATCAGGCCATCCAAACACGGAAGACTACCGTGTTGTTGTTATTTTATAAAACAATTACTTTATGGTTTCCGTGTTTGGATGGACTGATCCAAACACTTGGGAATGTTGCTCTCGCAACATTCCCGCGTGTTTGGATCAGGCCATCCAAACACGGAAACCATAAAGTAATTGTATAATACCACTCACTTTTCCGGCATGGGGTGGATAACTTTTTGACCTGGCGCCACCAGTGAGAAATATTAGAGTCTCTTAGATGTTGCACAGACGAATTGTAATACTTCGCCTTCGATACCTTTATCTCATTTTTAACTCTTTTTCTCCAAAACTTAAATTCTTCAGACACACAACCAAATTTTGCCAATGCGGATTGCCTCTTCCCAATAAGAAATTTTAATTTACATGTTAGCCACGGTTTGTCGCACGCCAGAGTTTTAACCCGTTTAAAGGGGAAACAGGCATCGACAGCGCCAGAAATTAGTTTATGGAACTCTAAATATTTATCTTCACATGCCTCAAGTTCAAGGACGGTAGACCAGTCAACCGTGGTTATCCATTGGCCAAAACGATGAAAATTACTTTCCGTTAAAACTCGCCTAAACGCTGGATCATTCTGTTTTGCGTTAGCGGTACCCGTGGGCGGGTTATTTTTCGCCGCAATGGATATAGTATAGTGGTCACTGGAAGCAATATTCGGTAATTGAGTAGGCGCAGAGAAAAGATTCGGTTTGTTCACTAAACACCAGTCTAACACACCACTATCCCGTGTGTTAACTTTGACTAATTGTTTAAGTCCAGTTCGACGTTTAACAAGTTTTTCATTCAAATTGGTGGAATTAGGATTGAAATCCCCCGTTATCACAACTAAAGCATCAGGGTGGGCATTCACAAACGAGTCAACATTATTTTGAATATGGACTAGACAATCAGAGTCATCCTGGGAATTGGAGGCAGTGGTGTGGTAAATTACCGCATACAAAATCAATGAAGCTTGACGGGGAAGACGTGGGGGTCTTAAAACCAACCACAACGACTCTCTATCGACAGTTTCGTACTCAAATAATCTTTTAACTGGGATAGAATTCTTAACATAGATACCAACGCCGCCCCCCAAACGATCTTGACGATCACTTCTGAAAAAGTTATAGCCCGGTATACTTATTTCATCAGTTAAAATATCATCAGATAGCCATGTCTCTGTTAAACTAACAATATCAGCAGAATTATGTTCAACAACAAGTTGAAGTTCGTCAACTTTGTTCCTCAATGAACGAATGTTTGTCAAAAGAATATTAGGAATATTGTTATTCAAGCGAGGTGGAGATTGGAGTATGTTGATACTAATACAATTGGATAGGTTAGCTAATCCCCGAGCCGACGGCGCGAAACCCCGTGCGAGGGTACTAATTCCCCCCGGCTATTTACACCCGGGGAAACGAAAGCATTAGCGAAGTCTAGAGTTCATCAAATATCGCGGGCGTAGGTCACTGTGCGTGGGTGGTCATCCTCACTGATCTCAAAAATAAGGTGGACTGTCATGAATAGCGGACACTGATTGGTCCAATTTAAAGTTTGCATTATAACAACTGCATGACGACAGCGAAATAGCAAACATTTCTTGATTTGATGATTGATAAATTTCTTGCAAATATATTTTATTTTTGCTCGCATTTTTGCAAGATTTTGTAAATTTCAAGAAAGAAAAGACGAAAGAATGGGCTAAAAGAAGGGAGCCGACGTTAACAAAGGTAAGTTTGTTTTAAATATTTATTTTATAATTGTTTTAAAACCCGACGGCTTTTGAGTATATGATAAAGTACATTTCTTGCAAGTTGTATTTTAGCAAGATTTTGTAAATTTCAAAACCTTTCTGAGAGCCAAAAACGTCTAGTAAAAGAATAGAGCAAAGTCGCCAACGTTAACGAAGGTAAGTCTGTTTTAAATATTGATGCATTGTTTGTCTTATAATTGATGTACTATTTAAAAAACGAGCGGGAGTGTTTTATTAGGTTTAAAGCCACGAGCGCGCAGCGCGAGTGGCTTTAGACCTAATAAAACACGACCCGCGAGGTTTTTAAATGACTTCAAAAACGTATGCATAATAAGTCAAATCTTTATATAAAAATCTTTATATAAAAATCTTTATATAAAAATCTTTATATAAAAATCTTTATATAAAAACCTTTATATAGTTTGCATAACAATGGTCTTTTGTTAAAGTGTTCTTTAGCTGGTATAAAGACGTATGCACATGACTAATTTCTTACTCAAGATTGGATAATTGCTTCATGAATTATTAATGAGTTTTTGAAATATTTATAACTGATAGTGGTGGGCGATACGACGAATATCGAACTAAACCTATCATTGCGTATATAAGTGAAAAAAGACAGCATATAATTTCAGTGTAGTTTTATTAATTACCTTTTCTTTTGTATATTAAAGTATTTAAATAAAGAGGAAAGCAAAGCTATTTTTATGCGAGAATTTGAAATCAGCTTATTTCAAACTCAATGTTTACCGATAATTCGATAAAAGGCCGTTTAGTTTTGAGAACATTTTAAAACGTTTTGCGAAGCGTTTGTGGTTGAATTTTACATTAAATTGAT